AAATGAAAAATGATCGGCAAATGATCGGCAAAATGATCTGCAAAATGTGATAAAATTAAGCATGACCGCTATGCTGCTATGTCCATGCTAGTTAAATGTCCATTATGCTATCCGTGATTCCGTTCTCTTTTCACAATTCAATCATGGATAACGAAAATAACGAAAGTGAAAATTTTCGCTCTGGCTCATCGGATGATGACAAACCTACATTGGACGTGGATCTTAATGCTCTACAACAGCTTGCTTCTAGTCGCTTAAACAGACATTGTGTTCACACTCGTAGACTAACAAAAGGACTTTATAATGAAATTTATTTATTACAATTCGAGGCTGGACCAGACTGCATCGCCAGACTCTCATGTGATCTAACCCACCCTGCAGCAAAATTCTCTAGTGAAGTTGCGACTATGAAGTATGTCGCTCAAAACACCAGTATCAAAGTGCCGGAAGTGTATGATTGGGATTGCACCTTGCATAATCCCATAAAAATCCCTTACATTCTCATGGAACGGCTATCTGGACAACACTTATATCGAGTTTGGGATGAATTAACGGTTGAAAAAAAGAAGTGTGTTTTAAGCCAAATTGTCGACACGTTGCTCGAATTATGGACGAAATGCCAGTTTGAAGAGATCGGATGTCTTTATATGGACTTTGTGAGTACAGTAACAACTTTTTACTTGTAGTATTATGCAAGGCACATAATTAATATTTATTGAATGTCTCATATAATAATACTATGGAAAATTAGATGACTTCAACTTTTCGAATAGGACCCATTGTAGATCCTGTATTTTATACTGAGGGAAGAAATGCCATTCCTAGTTTCACCGGCCCTTTTAGAAGCATGCAGGAATTATTTGACGCCTTGATTGAAAAAGAAAAAAAATTCTTCGAGATTCATGGTGTGCAAGAACTTATGAAAAGGAAGAAAATAAATCAGATAACGGCAGCAAGTCAAGTGGCAAATCTAATAAAACAAATGGCCTCACTTCAATCCAAGTTATTCGAACCTTTTGATAAATCGATAGATCAAAAACCCTTTGTTCTTGTTCATGGTGATTTCGATGCGCAAAACATACTCGTTGAGCGTTCAGTTAATGATGAAATCAAAATTGTAGGTATTATTGATTGGGAGTTTTCTCGTACAGGAACTTTATGGAATTTGTGCCAGTATCCAATATGGATCCAAGGAGTGGAAGAACCGTTCAGAATTCTTAACGATTGGGAGTTGCAAGAGAGTCGTGAAAAGCAGAAGCTAAGAGAATTTTTCCATGGTGAAATGGTAGCAAAATTGGGGAGCAGAAGCGGACAGATACTGGAAATGAAAAAACGAGATTTGAGGATCAAAAAATTAGAGGATATGTTTACTTATATGATTCACAGTTTCACATGTTTACGAGGCTTGTTAGAATCGTTCTTCTATCGTTACGGGTCAGAGTTAGCAAACGTTCATTTTGATGATCCTATTATAGAGTATTTCTGGGAAGATATTATTAAAGTTCAAATTCCACCTAAAAGAACTATTACGTATTTGTTATCAAAGGATAAATTATTATTAAATAGAATCATGGAAGAAGTTCCTATTGATTACATAGCATCTGTCTATTACGAACTTAAATCTAACGGTTATAATTTTTCTTGGCAACAAGCTTCTACCATAGCATTTCATATGTGGAAAAATGAAAGCAAGGATGATCCTGAATATTTATAATAATGTCAGTTTCAGTGATTGTGAAATATCGAGTGTTTAATGAAAAGAAATTTATATCCGGAGTTTTAATGTATTAATTTTTTTCTCTGTTTTGATGATTGTTCTGGAATATATTGTATATTTTTACTTATAAAACATACATTCACAATTTAAAAATCAATCGAAAACATTTTTATTATTATGTAATTATATGAAAAAGAGGCCAGCTGACTAATAAAATAAATGTAAAAAAACGATAGAAGGGAGGAAATTTGCCGAGCCCTAACCCAATTTAGTGGCAATTCTTCCCCGCTACTCAGTATTATTATCTAAACTGCTAATATTTTCTTTGCTATCTAATTAACTTTACTGTACTATATTTCGAATCACTATATCCATAATAAAAACTTTTTATAGTAGCCACCCATCTTTTTCCCCGTAAGTTGACGAATTTCACGAGCTACATATAATCAACAGAATCACTCCCCCTAAGTGAATTAAAAATTTGCTTAAAGCGGATCTCAACATTTTCACAAAAAGATGAATTGGATGACGAACTTCCAGAATAAGAGCTCGGTAAGATTCAAAGTTTTGCTCTAGAATTCAATGCTTGATTCTTTTTTTGAAAAGACATTACATTAATACATTCATAAGCTTTAAATATCGTTGGCTATACTTAAAATTCTTTTTCATGTAAAATATAATTAGGCAGATAAATCTTTTGTAATATAAGTGGAAATTGAATAGAACTCTTTTATTAGCACTAATCATAGAAAAGATAATCATTATATTTGAAATTTTGCATGATTTTACATTTTGATCAAAAACATTTTTTAGTTATTAACCAATTATCAAGCACATATATTATTGATTTACTTTTCAATATACATAATTTCTCTTGAACTGATTCATTTCTAATTTTAAATAAATAAGATCTAATATACTTTTGATATATTATCAATAAATTTTAAATACTATATTATTGGAAGTTTCTTCTAAAATTATTTAACATATGCTGATTTCAAATAAATCTTTAAAAGATAATGTTCTTCTTAAATTTCAAGTAAAAAAAGATGCTGTGCATCATTATAATGTGTAATAAATAAAGAAATAAATCCTGCTTCAGCTACATAATATTGATTATTTTCATTCTTTGATGAACTGCCAAAACTTGATATCATAACGGAAAAATTCTCAATACGAATAAATATGAAATAAATGAAATATTAACAATTAATTGCTGAATTATATCCTTACTTTCAAATCCTATTACTACTAAGCCTGAATATTCTGTTTTTATACTAAAAACTGATTGATAATACGCTTTGATTGCTGTTGATGAATATAATTCAATTTCACTTTTAGTTTCTTCATATATACATTAATTACCTGGTTTTAGAGAATTTTTATCATTGGAAATAACTGTAATAATAAATTCTTGGCCATTAAGTTCACATTTAATACGCATAAATAGATGATAAGGTACTATAAAGCACTTATTATTAGTAGTTAACTTAATATTAACGGTTTTCCACCAATTTCAAGCATAAACTTCATAGCGTAATTGTGAATCTATAATACCTATACTTAAAAGATTTGGTGTAAAACGTCTTCTTTTTGCTATTGATAGGGTTGACTTAATGAAAACTGTACATTTAAAAACAGCATTTTTAATTATAAAAATGCTATCATGTTTATTTAATAATGCCAATCATTTATCAGGTAATTCGTGAATTAGCAATTAAGTGAACTTGTTCAATGAATTAAAAAATATATATTTGTAAGATTTCAAATTAATATGTGTGGAAATCGACCTGATAAAATAAAGTTATTACAAGTTACGTGAAATATCAATAATTTTTGATAACTAACTAAATTTTATCAATGATTTGCTAAGATAACTAAAAATTACTTACTTACAAGTAACAATCGTAACAATCAGTTCATTGCAGATAAGTAGAAAAAAAGGAAGATGATCCAAAAAATGACTTACCTTATTTCCAAAATGAGAATTTTTCTAAAAAAACAAAGGAAGAAGAAAGAACTGATTTGATGGATAAATACATTCAAATTTTCTCAAGCAAGCAAAATCTACCTACCAATTGGTAGTTGTACAGAAAGTCACGTTTTTATGTGAAAAATAAATGGTGATATATATAATGTGTAGAGATGTTAAACGGTCCGAAACGGTCCTAAAAGTCCCAATAAATTTGCCAGTTCTAGAGAAGATTTTTATTTTACTGGCGTTATATTTTACTTTTTATGATAATTTGATAATTGAATATTTATTAAAATATATATTAAACTTATGCGGGAACTCAGAATCTTAATTTTTGAAACTTAGAACCTGGTCCTAAGGACCGGTCTCACTTTGGCGATCCCATGTTAATTGTCGATTCCAAAGTTCATATTTCTTTTATAAGTTTTTCATAAAATTTATTATTACAATTATTTATCAAGAGTTACTTATTATAGATAATCGATTAGACTTTTCTATAACTCGTAATTTCAATATTTGTTTACAGTCATTTGGGACCGTTTAACGTCCCTAATAATGTGCCATTGCGCCATTACAACAATACGAGTTAAAAGTGAAGCTTGCCAAATTAAGTAGATAGATAGATAAAACATTTGACATCTTAAAACACGAATCAGAAGTTTTACCATCTGACTTACTGATTAGACAAAATTAGGTACAGTGCATGACTATTTTAGCCGAAAATCACATTCTTTTTCATTTTTTTTATTTTTTTTTAAAAACATGAATCAGAAATAAATCATTGTAAATTTTCCTATTGGATAAAATTTTCATGATCATGTCTCAAACTTGCATATTAATCATATTAGTTTTTATTTTCACCAGTAACTCAAAAAAAAATGTAGCCAACGAACCGAAGACCGTCAAATGTTCCTCTACAATCATGAATTGTAGATAATTTTTTTTTTTTTTTTTTTAAAAAAAAAAAGAGCATTTTATTTATCTAAACTCGATTAAGAAATCTCGCGCCATGTTAAAAAAAAGTTTCGAAGAAATCCTTTTAAGAAATAAAATTAAGAAAATTATGATAATTACCAATTACACTGTCTTTGGGCAAGAAATTGTTTATCATTTGTTTTTTGATGAACTTTTGATTTATTTGACATAAACGAACGATATAAACGTGAAAAAAAAAAATTTTTTTTTACATTTCTCCTAATAAAAATAACGTAAAAAGAACCATTCATTTGCGCAATTTTCATTAATCGCGACGTTTATCGTTGTGAAAAAAGATGTATTGAAACTATTTTGGGTGTAAATAATTACTATTGGAGTATATTTTTAAAGTCTTCCCTGGGTCGGATGTGAGAAAATCTTATGTCACACGAACTTTACCTTTCCCGAATCCAGTAACTTTTTCTGTGACTGATTTGCACAATGGGATACACAATTTGTACATAAAAATTGCGTAGTTACTTACTCCTTACTCTCTTCTCTCTCTCTACTCGTTATCGTTATACTCGTAAATTAATTTATCTTAAATTTTTATTGATATTTATCATAAGAAACATCACAATGGATAACATCAACTTTACTTTTGATAACCTTGACCTTCATGCCAAAGCAGTAGACTCTTCAACTAAGAGAGAATTGGACGCTAGACAAGGTAATTTTAGCTGTTTTATGGGAGACGGGAAAAAAATACTTAAGTGATTTGTCACCTTAGATTTGGAAGTGCATCGAAAAAAATGGCGAAGAGGAGCAGAAAGGGGCAGAGTATACAACGAATTTCTTCTTCCGTACAGGTAAGTCAAAAGGTTTAGTTTCTTTTTTTTTTATGCATGGGTGTTGATGTTTACCTTTTAATGCATATCAGGAGAAACAACAGAATTTTCAACAATCCCAATGAACGTCCAAATCCGATGGTATTGCGGTGAATGAGACCACGATCATTATTATAACCAATGGGATGCTCTCACGATCAACATATGCTTCCGGAAAGACAAAGAAGAAAAGAGATAAGGAAAAATCACAAGAAATATCTGAGACAGATGAAATCACTTTTAACCAATTTTGTCAATGGATAAATATAATGGAGAATCTTGGAAGGCGAGCAATGACAGTTAACGTATCCTGGAAATCAGACCAGAAAATTACAGCTTAAAGTTGTGTGCAATCCGGTAAGAGAACGACAAATACCTTCTTCCTTGGGATCAGTATGGAAATGTGGAACCGAAACTAGAAGTATGGGAGTTCGGGAATTGCTCGGAAACGAATGCTTGGACTTTTTTATGCCGGTCAGATCTCCAAATCAAGTCTCGAACAATACCATTACAAAAAAGAGAAACGAAGGAACCATGCGAAAATTACAAGGCTTGTTTGATTTGGTTGATGCATTAAAGAATGATCGCAAGTTTCGTCAATTCCATGCATGAACCTACAGATGGATGGCCAATTGATCAAGAAAATAAAGAATACCATATGGTATCACCAACATTCACCCACCGTTTGTAGATCATTATGGAATGGTTGTATCATGTTTATGTGGAATGAAATGATGTATGGCATGTATAACTTGGGAATTAATAAAATGGAAGTCTTGCGAACTACCTTTACCACCCAGAAAAGATATGTGCCATTATGGAAGACACCGGTGTGTTGGTACCCGAAATGGAACTTAAACGTCGTGTAAGGGAAGAATTGGCAGAGGAAAAGTTGGCAAAGCAAAAGTGATACGAGAAAGATCAGGTTCACTATAAAAATATTATAGGCATTTTTTTTTTTGCAGAATATTATTAGTATAATGAGTTTCCGTATATGTGAGATGTTCTTCGCGATTTTATTGTATAGCATGTTTTTATTTTCCGATATACAGTTACAATGTTAAAAATAAAGCTCGATATGTGCTAAGAAAATAAAAATCATGCGGCCGCATGTTCAAGAAAATCAAGAAAACTTTTTATTAATACAGAAATAAAGGTTCGGGACGTAGCCCTTGATACATGAAGTTTCTATGCTAATACGATAATTCCTGTGATTCGATCCGGCCATCAAACACCCACTTGATTTCAATATAGCCTTGTTGATACGAACTTAAAAATACATCCACTTTTCCTTCACTATTATAGACGAAACTAGCTTGATTATTACCCAATCCACAGCAGTTGATACAATCCCGTATATTACGTCTTCGTGCCTGCCATAACTTAGGATTGCGCTGAATGGATGTCTGCAGTTGGATCGCATTTTGTGCAATTCCTTGATTGATATATATTTTTTTCGTCTCAGTGGTTGTGATGATGATATTTCCTACCTTTATAGCCCAATCAACAGGACCTTAGCCATGACTTCCAGAGATTCGTACTGAGGATAATCGTCAGCTTTCAAGCTGAAGAGTGCCTTCATCTTATCAAACCTCCACGAGGATAATGGTTGTTGTGCTGTTTGCGGAATTTCAAAATATCATGAAAAAAGTTCACAATATCTTACATGTGTCCACGATAATTTGGAGGTTTACTTTGAATCCATGAGACTAGATTATACATGCCAAGTCTTCATTATCGAACAAACGGATACGTTCCTTTCCACCCTCACGATCTACGATGATATGTTCATCTTCGAGGGAAATGTCGATCTTCCATAGTTTGCAGTTTGCAAAAAATTTGTTAGGTTCCACTGAGCGGCAATATATCAAATATATCATACGCAGCACATGTGTAACTAATGAAAAAAATAATTTATTTGAAAAATATCATATAATATACATCTGTTGATTCTTATGCGTGGAGGCAATAATTAAACATTTTTTAATTTTGTATTTAATAAATTGAACAAAAATTAACTTTCTGATTTGGATGTTGTTTTTTATGCCAAACTTCACAATCGTTGTTTTTGAGAAGTAAACATAACATCTGAATAATAATAATGTTATGATCTTAGATCTATAATGAAGCAAAGCTTTAAATAAAAATAAAATCATTCAAGAATCATTTAATATCTGAAATTATTATTTGTAAAATATTTAAAATATTTGAAAGGGATTAGTTACTACCAATTCGACCATTTTTCAAATACTTGAGCCACATATAATATTCTCACAATTATGCTTTTACGATATATAGTACAAATGTAAAGATTGCATTAGAAACGATCCATCCAGATTACAGATAAATGAGAAAATATTTAATATCCGATTAAAAGCATAGGTTAACATTTGTAAGAAGTAATATTAGTAAATATTATATAGCAAAATATAAAATTTAATATAGGATTGGATAAGGTCTAATCATCAAATTAAAACACTTTTTTTTTTTTAATTTTGTATTCCTCTTTAAATTAATAACCAAGAGCAGAAATACTTTGTTGAACTTTCGACAAATCTTCGGCCTTATTTTTTAGGGCCCGAGATTTAATGTTGGCCGATTTCTTTTTACGTTCATAAAATTCTTTACTCTTAATCTTACGCTTCTCTTCAAGTTGCTCAATAACTTCACCATATTTCCAGCCAACTTCATTTGAGAGGCGAGAAATTGTAGTATATTTACGACCAGGTTTCAATCTTAAAACTCTCAAAGCATCAGGAACAACCATACGCTTCGTCTTATCGTATGGAGGTGGTATTCCTTCAAAGATCTTAAGACGTTTCAAAGCTTCTGTACCCCGCGAAGTCTTGTGCGGAATCATACCGCGTATGGTCTTATAAAAGATTTTAGAAGGTGCACGAAAATGGAAAGGACCGCGGGCGGGGTTGACAATCATACGTTTACGGAGATAATCATGGTACTTGACTTTCGTTAATAAATTACATTATGTTAATAAGAATATTTAAATTGACAATTAATTATATCATTATATCAAAACTGAATAACAATAAATCAAACCTACTCTTATTTCTGAAAAAGGACCCTGATACATTCAATTCCTCAGCACGAACAATTACAACTTTTTGGCCATTTAATATTTGCTTTGCTACAATAGATGCCAATCGGCCGAGTAAGTGACCTTTACCGTCAACAACAACCACCTGACAATATAGATATCGAAAATTAAAAATTACCAAAAATAAAACATATATTGCAACCACCCAACAATCCTACATTAAACTGATAAATCACACGTTGTTCTTATTTGATAAATAAAAATGATTACCTTTTCAAAAGTGTTCATTGCTAGAATACACTATATTTAAAGGGGATTTGTCTTTTTATGGAAGAAAGAGGAAGTTTCATCTTTATCATTTGGTGGATTTTTTTAAAAAAAAAAAAAAAAATATGTTTCACAAAAATCTGTGACGTAAATTTAAAACGATCAATAATTGGCCAGAATTTGAGATTACACAAAAGTGTTGGCAAATTTTCGGTGGGTCAGATCGAGATAAAAGGTTTTGAAATTATCACTTCGAACTTACAGTAAATAAATATGCATTCTTTCTTAGTATTTGTTCTCACATTTTTATCAGTAATATGCCTTGTGACAGCGCATACAATTACACTTCCAGCTCATGTAAAAGAATGCTTTTTTGAAGACTTACATCGTGAAGACAAAATGACAATAACTTTTCAAGTTGGCGATGGAGGAAATTTAGATGTCGATTTTTGGGTAAATTATCTTGAATTCTATCTTAATAATAGAAAGAAATTGTTTGCTAGATATTAGTCATTAAAAATGTGGCAATATGATAAAGTTTTACCGGAGACAACGTAGTTAGTTCGATAAAGAACTTATTGAATTGGAAAATATTAAATTTGCAAGTCAAATTTCACTGATATTTATCCTTTTTATTCTAAAGATATCAGATCCTTCCGATCGTATTATAGAAAGTGCTCAAAAACAAACCACGGGGACATATAGTTTAACAGCAACCAAGGATGGTCGATACACATATTGTTTTAGTAATGAGATGTCTAATGTTTCTGAAAAGACTGTTAGCTTTAATGTTCATGGAATTGTCTACATGCCGGATGATGGATGTATGTTTCACGTTTAAAAAAACCTCCTATCGGGAAAATTAGATGTCTAAAATTACTCAATTATAATTTTCTAGCGCACACTGACCCATTAGAAAAAGAAATACGAGAATTAGCTGATGGTCTAGCCGCTATCAAAGACGAGCAAGAATATATTGTTATTCGAGAACAAAGGCATAGAGATAGTAAGCATTTTTTTTTTATCGCATGTAAAATTTTCTTGGGTTCCTATTAATAATTATTTTTCTTTTAGCTGCTGAAAGTACAAATGATCGAGTAAAATGGTGGTCGATCTTTCAATTTTTCGTTCTTGTCGGTGTATGCTTTTGGCAAGTGTTTTATTTAAAAAGATTTTTTGAAGTCAAACGTGTAGTGTAATATGATATTTTATTAAGTAGGTATTTTTATTATTTTATATAAGTAATGTATTTTTCTTTTATTTGTTATTTTTATAAAAAAAAACCTATTTTTATTGGTTTTAAAGTGTGTAACAGGCGTGTCAAATGTCGCGACTTTTTTTAAATAATTAATAAAAATTAGTATTTAGTATATTTAGATTAATTACACGATTATAAATCGAAGTAGTTGAACGTAGGTTATAAATTATTATTTTTTTTTTAAAAAAAAAAAAAAAAAAAAAATTTCAAAAAATTTCAAAAAATTTTAGATTGAATAAATCATGCATTTGATCGTTTCTCTAAATAATTCTTGACAAGTTTCTCAACATAACCACCACCAGATCTTTGTTCATCGCCAAAAAGCATTGGCTCAATAATTCTTTCAACGTACTTTCCAAGCATATCTACTTCTATATTTACTTTCTCCCCAACTTTCTTTGTCGGCATGATCACGTTAGCTTGCGTATATGCCACTAACATGATACTGAACCAACCTTCTTCATCATTGACTTCGCAAATGGTAAGCGATGTTCCATCAAGACAAATATATCCTTTTGGAATAGTATAACGAAGGTAAGATTTATCACTTGGTGATAATCTGAACCAAAGAGAGTTTCCTTCTGGCGTTACGGATAAGATGGTTGCAGTTGTATCAATATGTCCTTGTACGAAATGTCCACCAAATCTTACGTTTGCTGCAATTGCTCTTTCCAAATTGACTTTATCACCAACTTTTAAATCACCTAAAATATATATATATATATATTATATTGTTGTTTAAATAAAATGTTGGGAAAGATTTTGAAATACAAGTAAATTACACACCAAGATTTGTTCTTCTAAGCGTTTCCGGTGCAAGTCCAACTTTAAACCATGATTTTTCGAATTCTGTTACAGTCAAACAAGTTCCTTTATATATAAAAAACAATATATATTTAGGTGTATAATTGAAGTTGATTTTACTCGTGAAGCAATATGAGATTGATTAAAATCATACCATTTACAGAAATGCTATCACCTAGACGACAATCAACAAGTATATTTTCAGAATCACCAATTTTCATTGACCAACCACCACCACCCGAACTTGAAGTATCTAATTGTTGGATTTCAACAACAGTACCCATATGTTCTACGATACCAGTGAACATTTTTACAAATTTACAAATTAATTTTTAATGAAAAAAAGAATATTGTACAAAAAACGGGAGAAAAATAATGTATATATATATATATATTGATCTGGAAACTTCCATGAAATTTTGCTATATAAATTAGTCAGCTTCATTAGTGCATTTAGTGATTACACAAGAATTTATTAATCCATTTTCTTCTACCTTTCGAAAAAAAGATTGAGAACACTTTTATATGATTGATCTCCCAACGAATCATTTATTTCTTAAGGTGCTTGGATATACAAAACGTTTTATCAATATGACTTGAACTTCTTAATTAATTTACCAAAATAATATAAAATAATATATAAGCAGGGATAATATATATAGTAAATATACATAATTTATTATATATATATATGGATTTTTTATGATGATATTCTTTTCTTTTGGGGTAAAAAATCCCAACCTCTTGGTTCTTTGTCTCGAATAAAGAATTAACTCATCACCTTTTTCCAAATAAAGGTTTGGATCTACCGACTAGCCCGAAACTCTAAATTTAACTCGTTGATTTTCGCGCCAAAACTTTATTTATAGATTTCTTTTTGAGTCGACTCGAACAAAGAGTCTATCTTAATTGGGTTTCTTAAGAAGGTGTCGAATTGTCAAAAAAAAAAAATCACGTGATATAAAACAAAACGCGTTGTTTGATCCAATCAATGACGTGTCCTTGTTGACACTCCCCTGATCATAAATTTCTAAATAAATGGGACTCTCTCTCGCTCGTTTTCAAAAAAAATAAAAATCTTTAATTAAAACACGCCTCTTTACTTATCTCACCTCGTATTTTATTAAATATAAAATTTTTTCAGTAACAATGACTATCCTCAAGGAATCAAATAAAGAAAGCAAGGAGAACAAGGAAAACGTTGCCATCAAGAAAAAGATGATATCGAATAAACACGTTCAAAAGTCTGATTTCAATATCGAAGATGAACCTTTATTAAAACCAAATCCAAGACGATTCGTTTTGTTCCCCATACAATTTCATGAGGTAAATACGCGTTTATACTCTTTTTATTATTATAATAATTTATAACCCGTCACTATATCCACTACATCGCGTTTTCTCGTTCTATTTAATCCTCAGATATGGCACATGTATAAAAAAGCCGAAGCTTCCTTTTGGACTGTTGAGGAAGTTGACCTTTCCAAGGACATTTCTGATTGGGAGAATAAACTTAACGATGATGAGAAATATTTTCTCTCGCATGTTTTGGCTTTCTTTGCTGCCTCGGATGGTATTGTCAACGAAAATTTGGTAGAACGTTTCAGCAACGAGGTTCAGATTCCGGAAGCAAGATGTTTCTATGGATTTCAAATCATGATCGAAAATATACATTCAGAAATGTATTCCCTCTTGATCGATACTTATATTAAAGAACCAGCACAGAGGGATTATTTGTTTGATGCCGTCGAGAATAGTATATATCGAGATTCCAAAAATTTATTTCTTTTCTTTTTTATGAATTGCTTTTTCGTGATTCAGAAACCACATTAGATTTATCTGATATGTATGTATACATAATTTTTTTCTAGTTCCTTGCATTCAAAAGAAAGCCAACTGGGCTCTTCGATGGATTTCGGATAAAAAATCTTCATTTGCTGAACGTCTTGTAGCGTTTGCTGCCGTCGAAGGGATATTCTTTTCAGGAGCTTTCGCGTCAATCTTTTGGTTAAAGAAAAGGGGATTGATGCCAGGATTAACATTTTCCAACGAATTGATTTCTCGTGATGAAGGATTACATTGTGACTTTGCATGTTTATTGTTCACTCATCTTCGTACACGACCTTCAATAAAAACAGTTGAAGCTATTATAATCGAAGCCGTTACAATAGAGCAAGAATTTTTAACAAATTCGTTACCGGTTAAATTGATTGGTATGAACGCCGATTTAATGAATCAATATATCGAGTTTGTAGCTGATAGGTTATTGGTGGCACTTGGTGGAACGAAATATTATAAATCAGAGAACCCGTTTGATTTTATGGATTTAATTAGTTTACAAGGAAAAACTAATTTCTTTGAAAAGCGCGTTTCAGATTATCAAAAGGCTGGTGTCATGAGTAGTAGAACTTCTTTGGGAAACAACGCCGCTGATAATATGTTTACTCTTGATGCTGACTTTTAAAAAACGAAAAAAAAGAAGAAAATGTAATGTTGCTACTATTCAAATGTTTTTTTTTTTAATGTGTACTAGAAAATCAATTATATTAAGCTTATTAAAAAATAAATTTGCTGTAAAAAAAATTTACCAATTCAAAATTATTATGAAAAATTATTATATTTTAATAAAACGGATTTTTTTTGTTCACATTCACGAAGGAAAGGAAAAAAAAATAGTATATATGCGAAACCAAAAAAGTTTTACTAAAAAAAAAAAACGAATTTTATAATAAACTAAAGAAAAAATAAATGCAAAATCAAAAAATAAAATATAAGGTAAAATATAAAATAATAAAATTATATAAAAAAAAACTAAAAAACAAACCAACTATCTAAACAAAAAAATAAATCAAAAAAAAAAAAACTGTACAAATAGTAGTGTTGAATGATAATCATCCACACATTTAAAAAAAAATCTTTTTACAAAAGTGGATATATATTTTTTTTATATACGGTGTATGAAAGTCGAACGCATAAAGGAAAAAAAAAAAAAAAACTATGAACAAATATTCTTTTAAGAAAAAAATATATAAGCTAAAAGAAAAATTATTAAAGTTTTTAAATCACTTTTTTTTTTGTCTACGTGATTGATAAAGAAAATTAATCAATCGTCGTAAATCAGCTATGTATAAAAAGTAACTATTACTGAATAAATTATTCGAGGATTGAATCACCAAAAAAATTAATTCATCACAATATCCTTTCTCAATAATAAGCTCCTCTTGTCGATTGACCCAATACTTGAGCCGGTGGAGGGACATCTAAATGAGAATGAAGATGATGCGAGTGACCGTTATTGCTTCCATACCCACTTGACTGAGATTGTGGTTCTAATATCCTCCTAGATGGACTCAAACCATTTGGACCATTTACAGGCGCACAAACAGGTTCTGAATGGAGATTATGGTGTGGAGACATTCCAATTCCAGATAAACGATTTGATCCACTTTGTGGTGGACCAGGTGAAGGTGAATGATTATGATAATGATTTGCAAGTGGACCTTGTCGTGAAGGATTCATTGCAGGCGATTGAGGTATTGGAGCTGATGATTTAGCAATGTAAGAATTTCGTGAAGGACCCGGCATGTATACAGTTTGAGCCGGCGGCGTTTTATCATACGAATTTCGTGAATCATGAGGTCCTGGTATATACGTGGGTGGGGGTGGAACTGGAGATGTTTTTTCATACGAATTTCTTGAGGTTAATGCATCATGAGGCCCTGGCATATATGAATGTTGACTTGATTGAGATACTGGTGGGTGATGATAATGAGTATGTGGATGTCCATGGTGATGATTTGTATCTTGCGGATAATAATGATGATGATGTGGTGGTGAATGTGAATTGGAAGGATGATTATGATGGTGATGGTGTAATGGTAAATGCGATGAAGTCGTTTGAATTGGTGGTAAAGTTGTTGGTATTTGCGGATGAGATATGCTACCAGACCTTGAAGTTGATGGTGTTGAAGTTCTATGTGATGGCTCTGATAATGAAGATAAAATGTTTTGTCGCTGTGATGATGAATGTTGGACGCTCGAGGAATGTATAGGTGGAGAGTTGTGAGAAGAACCAGTTGAACGACGTTGAGGTGTATGTGGTGGTGGTGGTTGTTCTACTAGAGATGGTCCATTAGGGTAAACATTACGTGAGCCTGAAATAGCATTAACATTTGAAATTGGATGCATAAGTGGATCAGATACCCTACGTTGTTGAACTCCTGAATTGGCAGCAATCTGTTTAATATTCAAAACGTGTATATTGATAATATATATTAGTCATCTAATTAAAAGAATCGATGCAAGAGTTTAACATAGGGATTTATTTACCTCGGAGGAATGCATAAATCCCGAATTATTAGGCTGTATCGGTGGATAACCATCACGAGAACCGTATATATTATTCCCATTAACTTGTGTCACCATTACATGATCATTATTCATCGGAGAACCATTCGGTATGATTTGTCTATTCATGATGTTATTATTCTGTGGTGGTGGAGTTTGTGATTGTAAATGGCCATCCTTACTTTTATTGTTTTCCTGTTGGCGAAAGACGTATCAGAAAGAGGAGTGAAAGACCGGACACAGACAATAGAAAAAGAAGAGAATGTTGTAAAGTTAGTATGATCAAGAGCATTTGAATCTCACGTGTGTAAGTCTTAAAGGACAAGATCAAGGACAAGATGAAAAAAAGGATTACGGACCATTTTATTATAAATCATGTAAGGGATATAAGCGTGCGTGGCATTTCGTTTTAATTTCGGATCATGCTTCTGTTGCAAAAATATTAAACGATCAAATATCATTCCAAAATAAAAGAAAGAAAGAAAGTACAAAAAAAAAGAAGAAAGAAACAGCTACATATGGCCAAAAGGAAGGTAATAATAAAAATGATAAAAATAAGATCACACGTACCATATCTTGATATTTCTTATGAAACTGGTTGCTGAATGCACTATGATGTCCGCTTATTGCCGGCATTCCATTTTGTATCGGTGGCATTTGTGGTGGTGGTTGTTGTGAAAGTTGCGGTGTGATATCCTGTCATTTATGAGGGAGGAAAAAAGAATAAGCAAATGTCACATGAAAATACCCGAAAAACATTTTATATATTTTTTATATATATACCACATGAGTTCCGACCATTCCACCAACTCCTACACCGTGTCCATGTTGGTAACCATTAGGAACATGAGCGGATAGACCGGGGAGAGGTGGAGAAGTAGTTTTGTTTCCTTGCCTTTCATTGTTGCTCATTAAAAAATTTTTAACATTTAACTTTTGTGAATCGCCATGCATTGGAGGAGAGTTGACATTCTTTGCCATTGATAGCGGAAGATTATTCGTAAAACGATTTCCATTCGGCATCTCGGTCTGTGTTGTTATACTATGAGAAGGTCGAGTTTGATGAAGTGACTGTGGATGCTGTCCGCGATCCCATTCCATGGGATAATTTGGTACGGCTATTAAGACATTCAAAGTTACTCGTGTGAAAAAGTATATGAAATTATAAACTTGTAAACCATTATTAATGACCTACCTGAAATTAAACGATTTTGGATCCTCTCTTCACCTAATTGCTCCTTCAGATCGGATAATTTTGGACCACCAGAAGTTGTTGGAGGACCATGTGGGAAATAATTTAGATCCGGATTCCGATGCACCTTGGGTCTTGTATCTATTTGTAACACAATACATTTTAGAAAAAAAATTGGATGCGTTTTCTTTCAAATACACATAAACATCTGAACGTACTACTGAAATCAACTGCGTCAGAAGGTCTACGTTTCTGTGGACTTTTCTTTTGAATCCCTTTTGGTTCCCTTTGCGGAATCTTTGTGGTGGTATTCACTACCAAAGGCGCCGATCCTCCCTAAATTTAGAAAAGTCACGTGAATTCACAAACAGATCTGATTGATATATTCTTTCCGAGAGAGAGAGAAGTATCAACTTACAGATAACCTCTTTGCAAGCTTCCTTATACCATTATGATTGGATGAACTGTTAAAAAGACCGTAATCCAAATTATGTTGACCTTGATGGTGCGAATGTATATCACCATTTCTCATTTCCTCGGGATATGATTCTTGATGCTGTTGCTGATACCTCTGCTGTGACTGTTCCTGCATGAATTGACATCCGAAGAAGTTAGAAAGGTTTCAGATATATAAAATAACAAAATGTATCCAATATATATACATTGATCAACGATCCATTTGGAATTGAACGTCCGGAATCTGAAGAAGCAGGTTCGTCACCACCTGAAAGAGAATGTCATTTATTGAGTGATCACGTGTAAATTTAATCAAATGAATAAAGGAAAATATCTAATAATGACAACTTACCCAGTAATGAGGCGATGGACATTGAATTACTTTTTGCTCTCTGCCTTTGCTACAACAGGAAGGAAAAAAAAGATTATTAAAAAAGAATCGATGATTGGAAATATGCGTGTGAATGCATGGATAAGAACTCACATGCTGTGGAATTGATTTTACGCTATTTGAAATTGTTGATAAAGAAGAAATGGTAGCTGCAGCTATCTCCACGTCGGACATTTGCTGTTCAATATCTTTGGAAGGGTAATAATCCCTTGACTGATTATAATGAGGAGTTGACTGTTGAGGTAGAGGGGCAGTATTTGGATTTGACAGAGACAATAAGATCGAACCGGCCTCATGATCTATAGAATCATCGATTGAGTAAGTTTGATTGTTTTGTTCCTGTTGCTGTTGCTGTTGGTGCTGAAGCTGAGAGGGTGGTTGTTGTTGCTGCTGTGATTGATGCGAGCGAGGGTGATAATAATCACGTTCGCATGAGTAGGCGCCACCATAACCCGTATTACCGCCATTACCATTAACACCATTATTACCAGCACCATGGTGATATTGTGGTGGTGGTAGAGGTGGCTGTGAATGTTGAGAAAGAGACGCGTGTTGTTGTGTGTGAGCGTGTGAAGAAGAACCTTCATCAGACAGTATGCTCTTGAGACTAAAACCACCGGAACCCGAAGTTTGGTTATCGTTCATAACGTGTGATATTGAGGCTTTACGAGAATGCATATTTATTCAATTTATTTATTAAGTTTGTGTATTGTGCGTGTATTATAAGAATTCAGTGTGAAAAAAAAATTTTTTTTTTTTGTTTCTTCAATATAGACAGATATTACTTTCAAAAAAAAAGAAAAAGAAAAAGAAATGCTTTTTTTTTATTAAAATGAATTTTCAACAGAAAACCAAGTTGACATTTCAAAAGAGAAGAGGCAAAGGTAGAATCTTTTTTTTTTTTTTCTTTTCTTTTTTATTATATTCAGTGAAATATATGTCTAAGAAATAAAGAAGAAAGAAAAGTGTGAAGAAGAAAGGAATATTAAAAAAGAAAAAAAAAAAAAAAAAAAAAAAAAGAAGAGGATAGATAATATAATAATAAAAATAAAAATAATAATAACACACGAAGAAAAAATATGAACGATTATTTTTTATTTTAAAATTTTTTTTTTTCTTAAAAAAAAAAAATTTATCAGGATAGAATATCAAGTCGAAGAGATCCAATATAAAAAAAAATTATAATAATAAAATAATTTAAAAGTACTTATATATATATATAACAGATTGTTATTTTTTGTTTGTTGTTGTTTGATAAATAAAATATCTAATATAAAAAAAAATTTTTTTTCACAAATAGCATATAAATTATGTGTTTATTGAGTGTTATTAGTTAATTTATGTGAAGTAATATTATTTTAAATACAAAAAAAAAAAAATTTCAATATAATGGCGTGGTAAAAGCACACAATTGTATAGCAAAAGGTGCATATATAGGTTATCTTTTGGAAACACAAGCAAAATAAGTTAAAGTACATTCTAAAGGTAGGAGATAGATTGTCGTTATTGTCGTTTGTAATATAAATAAAACTCATCTTAAATGTCAGGAAAAAAAAAAAATACAAATGCAAAGGTATGCAAAGAGGACTCTCATGCAAGCGTTGAAAGGCCCCGCATAATGCCGCCACATACAAAGGAAAAAAAATTAACAGTATGTAAGCAACAAAAAGATGTGTAATGGGAATGTAATGTACATATTACAAAACTATAATTAACTTAACAGTATATATACTATGTGTTCTTGTGGGACCTCATCATCAAATCAGTCTGTGTTCACATTTTGGACTTTTAACTTCATAAATCATAATTTATTTTCACTTATTTATTTTTTTCTCAAAGAACAAAATTTATTTTATATAAAAAAAAAAGGAGAATTCAAACAATAAAAAAACAATCATGCATGAAGTGTTGCAAATATTTTGAGGTAAATAATAATAAACTTTTTTTTTTTCATTCCTGCACAAAACTGTGATACTTTGTGGTTCATTGAATTTAGAGAAGGCGTCAAAAAAAAAAAAACCTGAAGGATGAACTCTAAACATCTGTTGTGTGTGTGTTTCCTAAAATCATCACGTCCGTTTATATGCTTTAAAAAGTTCAAAAATCCTCGTGATTTTTTTTTATTTACCAAATATATAATGTGATATCACGAGTGTGACCATTCAAAACGAGCTAGTTCGCTCATGGTGTGGTATGGAAAACAATCCATCCACCAATTTGGCAATTTTGCCCACTTTGCCCCACATATTCTTCGATGGATTTTCCTGTACGACCTGAGATCTGGTTTCACTGCGCCATGCTACCTTTCGTCTCAAAAACCTTTTGGAGAAGTGCGGGGAAATTCCGACCTTTGGAATTTGACTTGTCGTTCTGTCATTTGGGACATTGTCAGCTTTCAATATTTAAAGAGGTTGAGAAGGATCCGACGACAACCAACCCCTTGTCGCATAGAAATTTCCTTTTATTGACCTTTTTAATTTATTTTTTTTTTTTTTGAAAGATTTCTTATAAGGTTTATTTATGAATAAATAAAGGGAGGGAGGAAGGGGCATTCCGCCGATCCTTATTTGATTTTCAATCTTGACCCGCACTTCAATTTTTTTTTCCTGCCGTACATATAAATCATTGGTATTAATCTGTGTGGTCACATGTTGTGAGACACTCGCACTTCTTTTTTATTTTTTTTTGTCACTTTGTCTCCAAAATTGGTCAATTCATCGGTCGATTCCATCAAATTTTTTTTTTCAAGCAAGTTAGATTAATAGCGCGTGAAACATCAACTAATGGTGACATTTTAATTTAAATAAAATAAATAAATATTTATTTAAGTTTAGCACAACAAATTGATTCTTGATTATTTACTTGATTAAGCTACATGTGTGAAACGCTAAACCGTTGGGATCTGCCATATATCAGGATTTTTATTTGTTATAGTTTAAAAACTTTAAAATGAAAAACCCATTGATTTCACATTACCGACTTTTGCTTTTGACGCGTGCTTTGAAATTCATTTTGTCAAAATCCATCATCACCTCGTGGTTCTCAACAACATAGTACCCATTATATCTCATTCTGTAAATCCGCAAAAAAATCCCCCGAAATTATGTGATCTGTTTCATCATCAAATGGATAAACCCACTTTTTTCAATTAGGAAGTCCAAAAGGCGAATAATAAAAAAAATGCCCCCTTTAAAGAAAAATAACTAGAAAAAAAAAAAAGTCAAAATCATCTGAAAAAAAATAAAGTCCGCTGATCAACCAACACACATCAAATGTTGATAGCGGATGATGGAATGATGGACAAAAGGATCAAAATGAGCAATCATATGAGTTTGCCGTTATTTACAATTTTCTCTCGACGTAATGAATTCATTCTTTCTTAAATCGCGCCATCTCTTTTTTATTTCCATCAAGACGTGCAACACCCTTAATTATTCTCATGGGAGATTCCTTCTGTGATAAATATGGTTACCCAAGAATGAACAATTATTTAATTAATTATTTACAACATGCAAATCACTTTATTTTTATTTATTTTATTTTTTATTTTTAAAACAATTCCTTCTTTTATAAACAATCATTTTTTTTCCTTAATTGGAAACAAGTATCCAATCTTGATTCATATCAAGAATATTGAAAGTTACCATATTCGGTTCCGGCTCATGTTGCCTGTTTAATGTTTATTGTGAACAATAAAAAACTTGTTTATGCAATGCTCAAAGAAATGATTTTTGCCATTTTTTTACCCCTGATTTTCACCCCATTCTCGACTTCATACGAGTTTTTTTTTCTCTCTCTCTTTGAAAATCTGTTGTCATATCGCAGGAATGGCATAAATAAAAGAGAAATGATTGGAAATTCATTCCCCTCCTTAAGAAAATTAAGAAACTCGCAGATATTTTCCGCCACCATAAATAAAAATAAACATTAATCATAAATGAGCAAAAACAGGTTTAATGAACCATATTCCCTTACGTAATTTAATTAAAGCCATTTTTGACTTCTTTTTTAATTTCACCCCACATTTTTTTCATCATCATCTTTGATGAAAAAATAAAATAAAATCGGAATACAATACATGCAATTTAAAAAAAAAATAAAAAAAGGATAAATAAAGATGTAATAAATATTAATTTAATGTACATGTACTTTGTACATGATAAAAATTTTCCTCTCCTCCCCCACACATATAATCTGTAACAGAATTACTTGTTACAAAAAAAAAAAAAAAAAAAAGTACGGAGTGGATCGTACGAGGAAAAAAAATATCTTTCACATCTCAATTTATCCTAATGAGGGAATTCCTACATAACAAAGGTTTAGATTACGTTATCTGTATTGGCTCATGCTGCGAAATCAATCATATCTTTCTTGTGACACGAGAAAGGTTTTTTTAAACAATTGCGAATATTTTTTTTTTCCTTTGGAGAAACCAATTGAATGTCCTTAAAGGACCATGAATACAAAAATTACATCATCGTTTACCATTATATGGGCGCATAATTTTTTTTTTTTATCCATTGTTGTGATATATAATTAGAATTAGATTCCCATAATGATAATTATTTTAATTTATTTAATTAAAAAAAAAAAAAAAAAAATGTGTCAAAATACCTTCTAACATTCGAATTTCTCAATAGGATCAAATTTGGTGATTTGGAATACTCGGACAAACGACCAAAAAATACCAATAAACAAAGACGAACACAGAAACAAGTTTAAATAGCACCAAGTATAAACATCACATGTAAATAAATAACCTTGTGCCATTTAATAATTATAAGGATCTGGTCATCATTATTTTTACAACTATGGTTTTCTTTTTTATGTTGTGTTTGGTAAGTCTTCACACATTTTTTTGATGTTTTTTTTTAATATAAATAAAATTATATGGGAATTGCATTATGATGAATCTGTGTTCATAGTAAAATTTTAGGTTAATGTTGTTTATTATATACAAATTTCACATGGAATAGATGAAAATCTGGCTGGCTAAAAAAAAAACTTTACAAGTTCATTTATTTATACAAAAAAAAATCCTTTTTAACGAAAAGGGAATGGATTAGTAAATCGAAAAATATGATCTATCAAGTAAAGGGTTACAAATAATAATTGACATTGGGCGGAAATCAAAACAAAAAAAAAATCGCTAAATTCCGCCAATTTCTTTTCTTGGAAGTTAAATCCATCAAAACAAAAAAAAAACATTGACACAATGAACACAAATAATAAACATAAACACAGGAGTCCCCCCCCCCCAAATATTTACACAAAAAAAAAATTTACATGAATAATATTACGCGAAAATCCTTGGAACTCGGATTAATATTGTATTATCTTTGGTTAAAATACAATCAATTACATTATTTGTTTACTCCCCAATGTACAGTAATAAAAATATTAAACAAATTAATTTAACAAGAAAAATAAACATTAAAAGGTAAATAATGATTGAATTGAGATTTATCGATCAATCACGTAAAAGTCCTCCTATAAACTCAGTAATCACATTTCCTAGAGTCTCATCTTTAAAAAGCCTAATAGTCTTCGAATCATTAAGATCAAAGAGGTCTGATCATTCTGCCATATCATTATAGATATCTTCAGTCTTAAATTCTTCGGTTTCATCAAATGCTGTTGTTTAA